CTATTCTATGGTTCTATGTGCCTAACACAAATACTGTAATTATTACTCAACAAGGACATCATTCTAAGAAAAGTTAAAACTATTTTAACATCTGACTTTGTCACATTTTCCAAGAGAGAGCAGTCATAGCAGAACCAAGGACCAGTCTACAGGAGCTGTTATCCTAGACGAGTGCACAGGGTTATATCTCCCTCACCACATAAAGATATGTGTATTACCAAGTCTATCTAGAGAACTCTCCAGCAAATTCTACAGTTAAGGCAATTTCACTCTATTCTTAAATAGATTGTTGCACTATTTTTCTGCCCTTTTAACCCCAGTTCTCCATCTCCTCCTACTCCCATCCCCTGAATCTTTTTGGGTACAAATTAAATTCGTTATTTCTATTATTGTTATGGAAAACTTACTGTCCCATTCATAGTGTTCTTTCCCATATCAGTGGGACATGTTCCTTCTTTCCTCCTAACTGCTTTTTTCAAACTCCCTATCATTCCAGTTTGGAGACAGATACCTAAAAGTTGATGAAGTTCCATGAAAACTATGGTTCTCTGAACTAGATGCGGTTTTTCATTGTTCTTAACATTGGCAGGTGAAACAGAACTTCAGTTTGCATTTGGCAAATGGAGATTGGGGGTTAGCCTTTTAAAAATAGCTTTGCTTTACAGACTCACACTCACTATGGGATCCATGATAATCCTCAGATCCTTTTCTTCAGAGTGCTACAAGGATTATTTGGGGTTTGTGCATTTGATTTCTCCATTTGGAGAGCACTACACTGTAACATTTATTGGACTTGATTTATTTATATTTTTAAAATTACTGTTCTGACTGGTCAATGTAATTTTGCTTTTTAAGATTTTTCTCTGAAGAATAAATATGGATGGCTGCCTTGTTCCTGCTGACAGAAAAAGGCAATTAATCAGTGCAGTTTTGGAGCCATGGGCTGGTCTGGCTTCATACCATTCTCATTCTGTGCCGACAGTTTTGGACTCATTTGAGGCTGTAGTTTGCCTTTGCCTAGGCTCTCTGGCTAAGAAATGTTTGGAGCTAACTTAGAAACATGATGCATTGACACTAATCAGTAGTTAGCTGATATAAACATCTTCAGAATTGCTCAGTCTATGTAAGTGAAGCAGGAAGGAAAGATCTTTCTCCTGACATGCTATCTGGCTTGGTCAGGCATAACACCTGTCATGTGGGGCTCTTGCACGATGGCGATGGCACAGTTTGGAATCAGAAGGTTTTGGTCACAAATTCTTGCTAGGTGTATCTACTGAGCTTTCTGCATTCCTGGTGACTAGAAGGCTTTGTGATCTTTGCTTTCTTGCTGTGTCTGAGTATCCTAAATAGTCGGGTTTGGGAAGACACAGGCTTCATGGTGATGTTCTTCCAGGTCATCACTATTGATTTTAGTTTACTAGAAATAGAAGTATATTTCTGCAATGTTTCATGCTGTCTGTTTCTGACCCTGTATAGGTTAGGCTAGGTTAGTTAGTCTAGGTTAGTTAGGATAGTCTTATGTGGTGCAGGGTTACAGCCTGTTAGAAAGTAAGCTTTTTGTGTCACTCTTCTGTTTCCTCACATATTTCCTCCCAGTCTGAACTAAGACAAAATCTTTAGTCTGCCTTGATTTCCACTCATTTTAAATGGTATAGTTTCTCAGCAGCCCTGAGGTACTTTGCTCTGAGTATTGCTGCCTTCCTGAAGTATACTATCCCACATTCGGCAAAGGGTTACAAGTCAGTCAATAAGAATATTATTAGAATGGAACCCTTCATAACCCCAGCTCTCCAGACATCTATAAGCAAAACCAAAAAGAACTATAGAAGTTTTTTACACTGGAGATGCTGATTTTTAAATTCATAACTTATTTTGGAAAACTCAGTAGGAATTGCTATAAGCTGGGTTCAATTTAAAAGAAGCTGTAGAGAAATGGTTGCAAGAAAAGCAAATTCACTTAGAGTATTCTGCTGAGACAGAGCTGTAGCAAAACACAGAAGAGTATTTTTAAAAGAATAATCTCATAGCTATCTTAAAGATATGTAGGGTAAAATTGTGGAATTTCAGGAGTTAAAATTTATAAGGTATCCACACTGAGCTTTTAAAATAAGCAGGAAATAGCATGCAAGGATAATGAGGCAGCCTTAAAGTGGACAAGTGAGTTGGAGGCTGGTTCTCTCATCTTGCAGAGGCCATGCATGAAGCCCTGGCTCTAATTAAGGATTCAGTTTAATTAAGGAATTCAATTACCACTGAATTCAGCGTATCTGCTATTACACATAGCAGACTGAATCCCTCCCAGGGGTTATACTGGGCAATCCCATCAGCTTGTTCCTCTTGGGCAATTGAAAGCAGAATGCACCCAAAGAAATACAAATCATTCAGTTTATGTTGGATTAGTTTTAGTTAACAAATAATCACAGCAAGGCACTTTCAGACTTTTGTCATCCTCTTTTTGTAATAAATAATCTTTAACTGTCTCATCTGAATATAGTACAAGCAGGCAGGAACATTAGATATAAAACGTCATTAACACATTTTTCTCTCTTTTTTGTTAATCTATGCAGTACGCCACAATGTTGATTATTAAAAGCCTCTACACTGGAAAGTGGCTTCATCAATTCTGCAAATTGGCTAGATTTGAAGCTGTTAATTATGCTGTATAGTGTACTCCACAAAGGCAGAAATGAGTGTGACTTGGCTCAGTTCTCATGAGAATAAATTGTAAAAATTGGACCTCTGTTTTGTTTGAACTCTGGCGTCATAGAGGACATGGACATTCCATACAACAGGCTTGGCAAGAACAAATCATTTACTCCATTAAAAAATCAGAATATATTCATAGTAAAATCCCATACCTGGCAGAATGCCCATAGTTCTTGGGACTCTGCAGAGGTCTGAAGCTCGTTACCAGAGGGTGCTTTTTATCATTTTGTCTGAGAAATTGACAAGCCTCTTAAATTCAAGTCTTCTATGCATGCTGCTCATCTAACATTAAGGCAAATGATAAGCACAAGTGAGGAAAGGATCATCTTCTGCCTTAGGCTCTCTACTTAGGTTTTTATATAAATGTAGATGTTGCGTAGCAAATTATGACATGATACTTTTACGTTCAGGATGATACTACTTCTGAAGTAGACCTGTATCATTAGAACGATTTTTAAATGTTCTCTAAGTGTATTTGGATAAGAAGATAGTATGTCAAATATTCAACTGTACCTTTGTAGCTGTTGCAAGATTCTAGAAGTGTATCTAAAACTGGTTGAAAGATCCTGAAAGCAGTAGTAAATGTCCAGTGGGTCACAGTGATGAAAAGTAAAATCCCGTTTTTGCAATTTAATCTAAAAGTTTAATTGAGCTATTTAAAAAGAACGTAAGTTTGGGACTTCATTTGTTCTTTTTTTAAACTGGAAAGAAAAAGAAGGTGAAAGAAAATTACTGTCTCAACCAATGTCTTAATCCATTAAAAAAAAAGAGGTTTTTATAATTAAAGCACACTAAAATAAGCAGTGTTAAATTCTTATAACTATGTGGTGTCATTTAAACTTTGCAGTAAATGCATACATTTCTGTTTTGGTTTTGATTTTTTTTTGAGTCTTTTGAAGGGTTTGATTGTTTGTTTGTTTTGAGCTTCTTTTTGATAAGCAAGACAGGCAATACATAAGGAAAAATCTTAACAGTATAATTCACGTTAATGTGTAGCATTTATTTTCTTATCAACAAGATGTATTAAACTGGAAACAATGAACTAGCAAAGCCATCTTGTACATGGAATTATTAAATTCACAGTTTGCTGTTGCTAATTTGTTGGTAGGCTTCGGTTGTTTGAGAAAGCTCATACAAACTCATTTTGCAAAACTAATTATTAGATGAAATGCCCTCTGTCGTTGCCACTGGAGGAATAGATCTGAATCATGGCTGTGTCACAAATGGAGTTAACTGAATGATCTCAGTTCAATACCATTTACCTAACGGAATTATGAAGATGATGCTGACATAATGAATAGATTCTGCTCAGACAAATGTAGTCCTCTGGAGACAATGGAAATGCAGTGCAGGGCTGTTTGCTTTCTTTTGTTGATATGAAGAGCTTTGATTCTACTTCCAAAGTCAGTCCTTGTGCTTTTATCAGAATTAAGTTACTTTTATGATTTGGAAAAGTTCAGTCTAGTAACAGAGATACAATTATAAAGCATTTTGGACTTGTTGGTTCTGGAAGAAGTTCTCCTTAAATTATGCTTCTTAAGCAAGTGCATTTTGTTTGCTCTGATGAAATATGTGTTGACTAGAATAGCATGGAAGTCAGAGATAACACAGAACTGAATCCCTCCATGTATCCTAGAAAGAATATTGCGTTTTGTAGTCAGTGTTTCATGAGCAAACACAGGAACCAGCCTGTATAGTTGCTTCTGAAGGATACTTCCCACCATTTTTTTCTTTCTATTCCTCATCTTGTTCATATTCATACTTGTGAGAAAATTTTCAGAACAAAAATTGTTTCCATTTTACAGATGTGATCTGTGAACCATACACCAGTATGGGTCAAAGACAAATTATCATACTGAGAACAGTTTTGTTAAAAGATATATCAAGAATTAATGATTAAAAAACAGCCTCAGAATGAACAATTAATCTTATGTCAATGTTAAGATTTTCAAAAGCAAAACTGTTCCCAAGTGTAAATTTCTTTTTCCCCACCATGTTCTTGGAGCTCTGTGAGGCCCAAGAATGTTTTTCTGTGCTGTGTCTTTGTGGGCGTTCAGTGGGGCTGTGAAGTACAGAGAACTGTAGCTCTCAGAGTGCTAAACATTTTTCAGAGGCATTTATTTGGAAAGAATTTCTGCTGGAATGTAAGAAATACTTTTACTTGGGCAGTCAGCAATGTATATGTAGCACTTCATGTAGAACAGACAAGAATCTTAAAATATTTTTCCTGTTAAAAACATCATGGGTTATTATTTGTCTTCTATATGAAATAAAATATATGTTCATTCTTTTAGGGTGAAAAAGGAGATAAAGGAGAACCAGGACCAGAAGGCATTCATGGAAGAGAGGTAAACTGAATGATAATGAAACAGTCAACTTACAAACTTTTGGGAGGGGTGGTTAAGCAGTGAAATTTAGAATTTGTGTCAGGATGGATTTTGAAAATGTATATGCCAGGAGAGGTAACATCCACAAGATGATGGGGTAAGAAAAAGATTCATTCAGGTGAGATAGGTGTACTTAGGACTCCAGGTTGGACAGAGGAGCTGTGGGTAAGGGTGTGGTAGGTTCCATGATATTTCTGAGGGCTGAGGGCTCCTGAGCAAAACTGAAACAAGTGTGGGGATTAAAGCAACATAGTATAGATGAGAATCATTCCTGGTTGGCTAATCTGCTGGAAAAGAGAGTATTTCTGGAGGAAGGGTATAGCTAGGCCTGGAGCCTTGGTTTCTGAAAAACAAAACATAAAGTCTGCTAGCCATTCCTGGGTGAGCTCCATCGGTCACTGTTGTGGTTTAGCCCCAGCTCGCTCACTCGCTCACTCCAACCCTGCAATCCTGTAGGATGGGGACAATCAGAAAAAAGTTAAACTTGTAGGTTGAGATAGGAGCAGCTTAATTATTAAAATAAACTAAAATATAATAATAGTAATAAGAGTAATTGCAATGAAAGTGAAAAGAGAGGTAAATAAACCCCAAGAAACACAAGTGAATAACAATACGATTTCTCACAACCACTGACCGATACTCAACTCAACCTGGAGCAGTGTTCAGGCAACTCCCCTCAGCTGGGTATCATGCTGGGCATCATACTGGGCATGATGTGTTATGGTATGGAATATCCCTTTCGCTAGTTTGGATCAACTATCCTGGCTGTGCTCCCTCCTGAATTCTTGTGCCCCTCCTCTTGTTCCTACAGAACATGGGAACCTGTAAAGTACTTGATTTAAAGTGCTACTTAGCAACAACTAAAACATCAGTGTGTTATCAGCCTTGTTCTCATACCAAATCAAAAACACAGCACTATACCAGCTTCTGGGAAGAAAATTAATTCTATCCCAATCAAAACTGGGGCAGTCACTCACTGTGCCATGTGGCTCATAACAGAGATTTTGAGTTAAAAATTCACTGCCTACTTAGTTAATTAGTCTGGCCTGAGGTGGAGCATGAATCTGTGTCTAAAAGTACTGGATAGTCCTGCTCATTGAGTTCACATTCTAGCTTGAACCTAAGCTAACACTATAGACATGCCCAGTGATACACCTTGCTTTTGTCTAATTTATTTTTAAATTTAAAGTATTTTTTTGTATATTAAAACAAGGTGAGAAAGCAGAAATTCAAGTTTTTATTTTCAATGCAATACAAAAATGGCCAACTAGCCTGAATCAACAGCAAGATTAAAAAATTCGTAAAAAAAGATTTGTAAAGCAAGCCAGCAGTTTTCTTTATCCCCGCCTTTCCTTCCTGCCTTCTCCTTGACCTAGGTGGGGGTCAACCTGGGTTAAGGTTTTAATTCAGGATACTGTTGGGTCTCCTATTGCAAATCATCACAGTTGAAGGCAGAAAGCATCTCAGAGGTATTTGAACTTGACTGTCCAAATTGTGTGGGGAATGACTGGCATTAGGACAGGGATACAGATACAGGATTTGGAAAAAAAAAAAAAAAACATGCAGCAAAGCTTTTTTTAAGCAACTTTGCCAAAAGAGTAAAAGGGTCAGCATTTGACCCAAAAAATGCTATGACAGTCTAGCTGGGTCTACTGAAAATACAGTAAAAACAGACTACGTAATTATGACACTTTTTATGTGATTGGGTTTCTATGTGCACTGTAAACATGAAAATATTTTTCCTATTGTAATTTGTTATAATTTAATGCTATTGGGCTATTTTTGACTAATAGCTGATTTCCTCCATATGAAAACATATATTATGTACTGAGCTGAAACTACGTTTAGGTATTCAGAGAGGTATTCTCTTGTAGCCTGCCTGTCTGTAAAGGTGAACCGTATACTTCAATCACTCATACATATATGCTGACAGCATGGAAAAAATACATCTGTGTTCCTTTCCATAGCTCTGGGGACATTTCTGTGTTGGTCTTACACGATCTCTTTTACTACATGGGATCTTGTTCCATAAACCTTTTAGGAAGAGTAAGGTATACCAAGTATCTGGTGAACTCTAGAACATGTTTTACATAGTGGCACTGTGAAAGAGTGAAATATTGGACCTCTATATTTTTAAATACTTACTGAACTATTGTAATGTGTCAACAAATGGTAGATTATCATAATGGGAACTCTCATTAAAATATTTTGGAAGTAAAATTTTTCAAGGCAATGTAATATTGTTTGAATCCACACTTCCATTTTAACAACCACACTTACATAAAATGCTTTGGATTCAGTTATCACTGCGTGGAGATGCCAGTCATTTTTAAAGGACTGCGTGTCATTGACTCTTGGTTGCTATCAGTGTCTCTCAAACTCATTCCGCATGAAGAAATGTAACATCCGATATTTCTGAAATAATCAAGTTAATCTACTTACATGGGTGTAATCTGCAGTGCTGCACAAAGAATGCCTGAAAACACTTAAAGCTAGTGGTACTGGCTGCTGGCAGCTGTTGTCTCTGCCTGGAGGAGTAAGGGCTTCCATACTCTCAAGTGAAGAACTTGAAAATGATGACTGAACATTTTATCTTGCACAAGTGGTAGAAGCAGATTGGAATTTATTTTAATCAAAATCACCAAAGTAGGTGTCACAGAACAATTTTGCTTGCTGTTACCACTTGCGTTTTCCTAGCTGTACAAAAAGTTCTTGCTGAAATAAAGTAACATGGCAGAGGGGAAACCAGATCTGATTTGGCAACTAGATTTTCTGTAATGATGAAGAGACATCTAAAAAGCTTAATTCCCTTATCCCTCAGTGGTTGTGCTAACTGAGCCAGTTAATCTCATTGAGAACCAGGTTTCGATGTAGGAACTGTGAATATATTTAACTGCTCTGCACATCTCCCAGTTTATCACTCCAGGAATCTGTGCCAAAATCTACAATGTCATGTCCCAGTCTGGGATATTATTCAAAATCCATCTGACAGCATGAATGCTTACTATAAATACTAGTAATGGGATTGCCATTGTTTTTAGCTCTTAAGGAGTGGTTATAAATAACATAATATATTGCTAATGTAGTCCTCCTGTGGTATGTGTTCACATTACATCCGTAAGCAGGTATTTGCCTGTATAATATGAGCAGTGAGTTTGTTTGAGTAGTATCTCTGGTTTATCCCTTAAGACTTTTTTAGCCACTTGACATTTATAATGCTATCATTTGTATTGCTGTAACAAGTGGCTCTTCACAGATACAGTGCCTGAAAGAAATCCCCATAAATACAGTTTATTCTCCATCAAGTCAACTGACATACACACTTTGGAGAGGGCAAACTAGTCATTTGCTCAATTTGAATGAGTAGGCATCAAGTGGAATGGCTTAATTGTGGGCCACTCAGTCCCTCATTACAAGTAGTGAGATAAGTAAGGTTTTGACTATTGGATAGGGAAGATCATGAGGGGAGTGGAGGGATGTCCATGAAGGGTGAGGAGCAGCCTACAGGGGCAGCTGTTAGGGGAGGTTGTGAGGGGCAGTCATGAGGGGTGCTCAATGAGGAGCAGGTGTGAGGGACAGTCACGAGAGGAGCTTGTGAGGAGAGCTAATGAGGGGCAGTCATTAGGGGAGCTTGTGAGAGGTAGGCATGAGAGGCAGTTGAGAGGGACAGTTGTGAGGGGAGCTTGTGAGGAGAACTCATGAGGGGCAGGCGTAAGGAGAGTTCATGAGAGGAGTTTGTGAGGGGCAGTCATGAGGGATGTTCATGAGGGAAGTTCATGAGGGAAGCTCATGAGGGAAGCTCGTGAGGGGCAGGTGTAAGGAGAGTTCATGAGAGGCAGGTGTGAGGGGAGTTTGTGAGGGGTGCTCATGAGGGGTAGTTGTGACGGGAGAGGAGGGGTGGCCATGAAGGTGAGGGGAGAACAGGGGTGGCTGTGGGCTCTGTGAGTAGATGAGGGGTGTCAGCTATATAAAGTAGGCCACTGTGGAGCGTAGATGAGGGTGACTCTGAGTGGAGATCATGAGGGACAGCCACGAGGGGAGATCATTTTGCCCTTAGTGACATGGTTTAGTGGTGGGCTTGGCAGTCGTTGGGTTTATGGTTGGACTTGATATCTTAGAGGTGTTTTCCAGCCTAGTTGATTCTACCTGTCTATGATCATGTCCCATATGGAATAAGGACAAATTTGCAATACAAATATCCATGAAACTGTCTGTGGAGTAAGATCTATGTTATATTCATATGCTTGTCAGTTGAACTGAGTTAGAAAGAAAAATCTTTGTCATTGAAAATTTTAGACTCCTTTTGGAGTTATGTCGTTGACTTGATCAGTCCAACCACTGTTTTGCTGACGTAAATGAAATCCATCAGCAAAAGGAGGTGAAAATAAAAAAAAAATTGTCATATATATCAACACATGCCATGCATATTTAGGGGAAGAATAATGTCTTTCATAAAAATTGTAGGAAGAAGTTTAAAAAGTGTCCTGGAATTAAAGTCTAGCATATAAACTCTTAAACTATGTGATTCACTAATTATTTTTTTCCTCCTGCTTTGAAAGGCCTAAGTGAAAGTTAAAAAACTTTCCTACATAAGATGTTGTTACACTTTACATACCTGATGCCAAAAGATGGACCTCTGAAGTTAAGTGAGCAATGGAAAAACAGACGGGTTTCAAACGGAAAGACAGAATACATACCAGACCTTCAAATTTTTCTGCTTGTGGGAAAACAAGCGGAAGCACAAACATTTTTAAAGGGATCAAATGTCTCGATAAGACAGTAACAGTTATTTACCTTCACACCCTCATGGCCTGTCTGTCCTGGGTTTAGCAGTAGCAGTCATTTTCCTCTTTCTTGGTAGCTGGTACAGTGCTGTGTTTTGACTTTTGGCCTGGGAATAGAGCTGAAAACAATGATGTTTTGGTTTGGCCAAGGACTTTGCTCTGCCAGGGAGGAGGGGAAGCCGGGAGGAAGCAGAGACAGGACACCTGACCCAAACTGACCAAAGAGGTATTCCATACCACAGCACGTCATGCCCAGGAGGTAACGGAGAGTTACCTGGAAGGGCTAGGTGGACTGCGGGGTTGGGTGAGATATGGGTCGGTGCTTGATTGGGCTGGGGGGAGGGAGGTGTTGTATTCTCTTCCCTTGTTATTTCCTTTATCATTATTATTATTGGTAGTAGCCGTAGTGATTTGTGTTATACCTTAGTTACTAAACTGTTCTTATCACAACCCGTGGGAGTTGCATTCTTTTCGATTCTCCTCTCTTGTCCCTCCAGGAGTAGGGGGAGGGCAAGAAGGGGGGGGAGTGAGTGAACAAGCTGTCTGGCTAGGTTTAAACCAAGACACCTGTCCTAATCCCAAACTCTCTTAGAATTCTCTTAGGACTCTCTTAGTATCTCTTGGCATTGTAAGGAAATATTTGGATAGGAAGGCAAGAGTCCTGTTGCTTCAAAATATGAAGTTGGGAAATGTAATTATATCTGGAGCTTGAGGATTCTGTTAGGAATAGTGGGGATAGTAGGCATTGCTCAGGATCCAGAAAATTCTAATAATATAGTAATTTGAAGTTTTGAATGATATTAACAAGAATCGAGCAATGGCAATATGTGAAAGTACATGACACAAACTGAATAATAGTATATTGTTTGGAGCCTTGAAAATACATTGCTAAATTAAAAGAAGTATCCCAATGTATACAGCTCGGTATTGTACAGCTGACTCTGAAGCTGTTTAAATTTAGATTTTAAGGCTGCTCTGTGGATCAAGTGTAGTTCTGTTGTCTTACTCATCAGAGTATTTCCAAGTTTTGTTACTCAGTAGAGATTGTTGATTCAGTCTATCGTAATTTGGTTGCACATTGTTGGTTAGTGTGTTGGACTGTTTACTGTATTTCCAGTACCTTAGATAATTTGTATTGTTCTAGGAGATTTTAACCTGATGTGAGATTGAACCAGATTTTCTAATGCAGGCCATGGAACTGTAAATGCTGAATGAAGTTTTTTCCAAACAGATATCTTTTAGAGTGAAAAACCTGTTCTCCTCAGAAGATTATGGTAATCTTACAGCATTTTTCATTGCTGCATGAATGTAGCATAGTGTGTGACACATAAATGGTGGTCAACACTTGGCTGCTGCCGGAGCTCCTGGAGTCTTCTGGTTGGGCTTCAGCTGATCTTTGAAATTTTCACTGGGAAGAACATTTGATATCAGTTGCCAGTACATTTTACCTGATTGATCTCTTTCCTGTGATGATGTATAAGCACTGTCTACAGCTTTTTCTCTCTGAAAACATTTTCAGTGTATGATATGCTTTTCTCAGGCCTCAGTGAGTCTGCTAGAACAGGTTAAGTCAGAATTTATCAAGTAAAGCACTAGGGCACAAAGAGCATGTTTTACTTGGTGGTAGCGCTCAACAATTTTTCTAATGTTCCTGAATTCCAGAAGGAGTTGGCTTACTGATAATTTCATGCAAGGTTGACAATTCAGTTATTTTGGTACTATTTTTGCAGACTGAGATGATGGTAGCATCAGTTTGTGGATTATCATGTTGATGAATTGACTTAGGGGACAAGGGGTGATGGTTTTAAACAGCGATTAGGACTGGATGTGAGGAAAAACTTCTTTACAGTGAGGGTGGTGAAACACTGGCACAGGTTGCCCAGAGTGGTGGTGGGTACACCATCTCTGGTGATATTTAAGGCCAGGCTGGATGTGGCTCTGGGCAACATGATCTAGCTCAAGATGTCCCTGCTTATTGCAGGGGGGCAGGACTAGGTGACCATTGAAGGTCCCTTGTAACCCAAACTGTTCTGTGACTCTGTGTTGCTTTGTTCCCTTTTCTCACTAAAAATGTTTGACCTCTCTGATCTTTTCCAAATGACTGAAAACACAGGAAGCGAAAAACTTTTGTTTTCTGGTTCTGTTTATACCTGGTACTTCTTTTGAATGAATAAAATGTTCTCCAGCTTGGTGAGGAACATACTTATCACATTACTAAATAAAGTTCTTTTTATTTCACAATGGAGCTCCAGAGCAGAGCAAGCATTGTATTAGATTGGTCCTGGCTTAAAGGGAAAAGTCAAATAGAAAACCCATCACCTTTTGTGCCAGTAATGCTGAGATATACATGACACATATAAAATCACATCCCTTGATGAACCTGTAAAACCATGGTCTTTTTTAAAGGTTTAAAGCACAGTTCCTGCTTTTAAATTGTTTTCTGTCCTCATCCACTTCAGTTTGTAGGCTGGTGAAGACTCCAGTAAACTAATATCACAAAAAAGTCTAATTAAATGTTTGTCAAAAACAGTGTCAACCAATATGGTAACTTCTCCTTTAAAGTCCTTCCACCAGAAGTACCATTGGCATCCCCTTGCAAACACCCCCTTGCCTCTAGTTTAGTATTTCACCTGTTGGCCTCAATTTTGCCGAGTTTACACCCTTATTGATATTTGTGATATACTTATTCCAGCAATTTATCTGTTGATCAGCAATCATGTTACAGGTACCTTTCTAAAATAAAAAGTAAAAAATAAAAAATAAAAAATGTCTACAATTTCTGATATTTTAAATTTGTTTTGATAGCCTTGAGTTGTCCCTATACATGTGTTTCCTAACACTTACTTTACATTTTGATAGCCATAGAAGAACTATAATATAATTTTATCTGACCTGTAAAAAGATCAAGCTGTAGCTCTTACAGAGGAGAGAAAGTACCAGCTGAAGACTGTGCGGCATGTTGTCAAATATGTAGTTTCCACTTGTTCTTTTTATGTGAGGTTGACTTCTGTGATCATCAACTGTGCAGTAGCTGTCAAACTGCATACTTTACCATGGTGCACTGCAGGAGCACTACTAAAAGCTTTAAACACACCAATTAGGAAAAATGAGGTCCATAGTTTGGCAGTATATGGCTTTGGTTCAGTGTCTTCCGTCTGCAGTTGTCATTTCTATTCAGCAGAGAAACACAGAGATATAAATATATACATATATCTTCCAATTTGTGAGTTGAAGAATTTTTCCCCTTTATCTTCCATACATATACAGCTTAAGAGCTAACTCTTAAACCTATTGTGCCACTGGTGATTTGTTAATATTGATTTTGAACCAGACCCGTACAATTTGCATACCTGAAAAATCCCTAAAATGGCTTTTTAGAATATGGACTGGTTGTGTTTTATGCAGCCTTTCAGAAGGTGAAAAGTAAAATGTAGTAAATGGAGACAATATTAAAAGTATGTTATAAATATGCAGATTGTAAAAAGAAAGTGGGTTTTTGGCTAGGATTTTGAATCCATCTGCCTATTACATTTTCTTAAGTTCAAACAGCAAAACTACTTCTGATTTAACTATTACATATTTGGCAAGCTTAATAAAGGACAAATCAAAGCTAAATCAGGGGTATTTACAACAACCACAAATTTAATCCAAAGTGGGTACTTAAATGCTCATATAGTTCTAAATGATGTTCCTTCCAGATGGTGAATTAATGTAATTTTAGCAGGAAGTGAAGTTGCACAAATACGCAGTATTTAGAACACTCACTGATTTAATGTTTCTGTACCCACCAAGGCACAGATGTTACTTATCATTTTCGTGCCAGTTATCTCTATCTTTCCAATTATTGCATGCTGAGGATGAGTTTGCAAGGGCAAAAAGGGGGCTGGGAAGAACTTTAGTTAGCAAACACTAACTCAGATGTAAATGAATCTTTTCTATCCTTCACCTATTTAACCTGCACAATAATAATCATGGTGGCCTTCTTGTGGAGTATCTTATTATGGTTTGGTCCTGTATTATTTGCCATTTGGTTTCTGAGTAAAATCTTTGAATCTGTAGAGCTGTCCCTGACTTAAAATGTATCTGCTCTGCTGATGCATGCCTCTAAACCATTGATCAGAGAGAAGGCACAAGATAAATCTCTTGGCTTAAAAATGAGTTCCTGATATGTTGGTCCAGCATCAGAAAGGAGTTAATTCCTTAATGCAGAATTGTTTGAATTTGCTGGGCATATTTCAAAACCTCTTGCTTTTTGCAGCAAGGAGAAGACAACTAAGATTATGTGTTGGGAGCTAAAGAGCTCCCTTGTAGGTGTTTTAGAGGGTAAACTCAGGCTAGATATAAGGAGGAATTTTTTTACAATAAGGGTGGTGGAACACTGGAACAGTTTGCCCAGAGAGGTGGTAGATGCCTCATCCCTGGAAGCATTCAAGGCCAGATTAGATGGGGCTCTGAGCAATCTGATCTAGTTGAAGATGTCCCTGCTTGTTGCAGAGGGGTTTGACTAGATGACGTAAAGGTCTCCCAACCCCAAACTGTTATGTGATTCTGTGATAGTGAAATTGCTGCATATGTAATATGTAAAATTAAGCAGTATTTATTATCTGCTTCTCCAGCTGAAGGCAGAACTAAGGAGGGGGGTATAAAGGACTCCATTATTTCTCTAATTGTGTTTTCAAAGCCTGGTGAAGGTCAGAGTTTGAACCAGGTTAGACCAGCTCAGCATTGCTACTTGAAACAGAATCCCAATTTTATCAGAGGTTGAGTGAATGTACTAGTACTTTCTCTAGCATTTTATCTTAGTTGGTCATGCAAGATGCAGACCTAGTAGGACTGCAAAGGAACTTTGTATTTCTACATGCTGTAATGGGGCACAATCAAGTAGATAGTTTGGCTTTGTATGTTTAATTATGTGTTAAAGACACGTGCAGTCTTTGATAGATGTTTCTCTGCTCACAAAACACTGAAAACAAAGAATTATAAAATAGTAATGCTAATAATGTGATAATATTTAAAGGCTTAGTTGATTAATGTACATTAATTCACAGCAATACAGGATTTTGTCCAATGCTTTGCACAGATGACAACAAATAGATATTTTTCTTCTTCGCCCAGGGACTAAAAGGTGATCCTGGTAGTCCTGGTGTGTCTGGTCCTAAAGGAGAAAAGGTACTTTTTTATCTGTAAAGTTGCATGTATATGTCAGTGTGCATTATATTATTGAATGCATTGTCTTAACTACATGTGACAAATACCCACTGCTGCCATTTGTGTAGCAAGGGTTAAGGGTCGAAGAATATGAATAAGACTAACTGTAAATATGGAAGCCAAGTATTTTTTTCCACAACAAATTTTGAAAGGAATTCAGAGCAGGAGCCTAAATTCAGTGTTCTGAATTGCTCTCTGAGTGCTCTGATTTTCTCCCATGGTTTGAATCTGAATGTCTCATAGCACAGATCATACCGTGGCAATTTAATTCTGTAAACATTTTATGCAGTCAGATGTCTTTACATATGTGAGCTGTCACACTGGCTTCATGGCCACCTTGTGCATGTAAGCTGTAACTTGCAACTTAACATATGCAAACATGTTTTGAAGGATTGCTTTCTGTAAGTGTCCAGGGCAGTAAGCTGTGATTCATTTATGCAGAGGTCCGCCATTTTTTTCCAGTTTAAGCTGTGGTGAACTGTGTACTTCTATGCCATTACTAAAAAAGAATATTGCTTTATATGTATATTTTCATAATGAGAGCATACTTGATGATTATAATGAATTTTCTTCTGCAGTGGTGCATAACCTCTAAAATGCCCAGAGGTTAAATATGTGTAACTATAAAGATTGCTGATTTATTTACTAGTTACTGTTTTAACTAGGGAGATGCAGGACCTCCAGGACCAACTGCCTTGAATGTAAGTACACATAAAACAAAAACAGGAAAAAGAAAATCATTAAGAAATGTTGCTGGTTTTAGCTTATTTGTAATGTAAATACTTTCATTATTAAATATAAGATAAAAGTCCTTCTCTTTAGAATGCCTCTGCATTTTCTTTATAAATTGTGAAGTGGGGAAAAGGGGATCTTGTGAAGAAAATCAGTGTATCATCTTGTTTCCCACAAATGCTAACAAGAATATTGGTTTGGGATTTTTTTTTATTCTGTGTATAGGTAGTATGGGCTGGTTAAAGTGAAAGATTTCCCTTGGCATTTTTAGGGAAAAACACTTTTCAGTAAAAGATTTTTTCCATATTCTACTGTCAGGTTATTTTAAGTGTTTAGTTATAAGTACAATGTGACACAGTATTACATACATAGAATGCATATGTTCAACTTGACACACAGGACCTGTTCTCAGAAAGTTAATGTAATACATCCAGCAGATAGATGTGGGGCTGCCAGAGCTCCTTCCGCTCATGTCCAGCTGGTAGCAAGGCTGAGCATGCCTTCCCAATAGGCACACAAACACACATAGAATCATAGAATCATAGAATAGTTAGGGTTGGAAAGGACCTTAAGATCATCAAGTTCCAACCCCCCTGCCACGGGCAGGGACAACTCACTCTAAACCATATCACCCAAGGCCTCGTCCAACCTGGTCTTGAAGACTGCCAGGGATGGAGCATTCACAACCTCCTTGGGCAACCTATTCCAGTGCCTCACCACACTAACAGGAAAGAATTTCCTCCAGTCTAAACTTCCCCTGTTTAAGTTTTAACCCACTGCCCCTTGTCCTATCACTACAGTCCCTAATGAAGAGTCCCTCCCCAGCATCCCTATAGGCCCCCTTCAGATACTGGAAAGCTGCTATGAGGCCTCCACGCAGCCTTCTCAGCCAATCTTCATATGGGAGGTGCTCCAGTCCCCTGATCATCCTCGTGGCCCTCCTCTGGACTTGTTCCAACAGTTCCATGTCCTTTTTATGTTGAGGAGACCAGAACTGCACACAATACTCCAAGTGAGGTCTCACAAGAGCAGAATAAAGGGGCAGGATCACTCCTTCGACCTGCTGGTCCTGCTCCTTTTGATGCAGCCCAGGATACGGTTGGCTTTCTCGGCTGCAAGTGCACACTGAAGCCGGCTCATGTTCATTTTTTCATCAACCAGCACCCCCAAGTCCTTCTCTGCAGGGCTGTTCTGAATCTCTTCTCTGCCCAGCCTGTAGCTGTGCCTGGGATTGCTCCGACCCAGGTGTAGGTGTAGGACCTTGCACTTGGCATGGTTAAACTTCATGAGGTTGGCATCAGCCCACCTCACAAGCATTTCAAGGTCCCTCTGGATGGCATTTCCTCCCTCCAGCGTATCAACCGAACCACACAGCTTGGTGTCATCGGCAAACTTGCTGAGGGTGCACTCACAACACATACAGCCAGATCTGGCACGTAGGTCAACACAGATGGACACACTCAGTACTCCCACCAGCACAAACAACACCACCTTTTTATCCCCTCTGGCTGATCATGGTCATAGTTTGGTACTCAGAAATATATATATATGTATACAGTGTGCATCGCCCTGGTAGCTGAGCTCACACACAGCCTAACCAGTAGATGCCCCTGCTCCTGGTTTTTCCACATTATTAGAGATGTACAGGCATCTCTAATAATATTTGAGAATAACATATGCTTCAGTATGAAGCATTGTTTATCCTGAAAAAGAGGTTGCAAAATTATTTTCACACAAAATAGAAAATTTTTCAGTTTTTCCTTTCAAACACTTGCAAAGTTGTGTCATGGTCTTGATATCTACACAATCTTTATAACTTACATAAAGACCAGATACGTATAGCAAACACACACTAATAAGGAAAAAGAAATGTAATGTTATAATGATGGAAAATCACTTACTAGATTCTTATGAAGAACAATGTAACAGAAACTTAAGGTGGTTTTTGGTTTCTACAATTCTCAGAGGAAATTAAGCAGACAGGTATATTCCTTTCTTTCTTCATAGAAATGTCTGTTTATCAGACTCAGAAAGTTGGAAATTTGGTTACTAATTCATTTATTCCCTTTCCTGTTATTTACCTGCAGAAAAGAATATGTGAGGCAAGCCATGGTGATTAGTTGTCTTTTGTCTTTCAAGGAAAGACTTCTTGAGGATGGATCTGTCAGTTTCTTTTTGAGGATCTGGTACATGCTAGTGTACCAGCAAAGAAAACTGACCTGCAGATTAGTTGTATTCTGTCTAGACAGTGCATAGAGGTGTTTTTTAATTTCATTACAATGATCTGTGCCCCAAGCATGTAGAAAGCCTTAACACAGATGTCCCAAAACTCTCCATGGCAAGTTTTGTTTCATAAAAGTAATAATTCTGTCTGAATCCAAGTAATTTTATTCATAAACTGAAGTGAGAAGGCCTCCCATTAAGGACAGTCCATTTGGGTAAAAACAATTGAGAATGGTGCAAAAGAGCATGGCAAAAATGAGCACAAAGACAAAAGCTCCTTAATTCCCAGGCTGTAGTTCCACAGCATGAATGGCTCTCCCCCCTTCCCCAGACTCAGTGTTATGAACTACTTCTACAATATTCATGTTACCCATATAATCCTAAATAAACTTCACAAAAACTATCATTTATAGTGTAAATTGTCATACATTGACTTTTCAGTCTCTTCATTTCCAGGACCGTAACAGCAAGGATCTTTACAATTGCTGAGGGGTGTAACCAGAGACACATACTATAAAAATAAATTCTACTCTAAGGTTTCAGAATTAAGTTGCAATGTTTTATGGTACTTGGTTTTGGATTATGAAATCTAAATATCTGGTATCTTAATATCCCAGAGCAAACCATAGCATCATAAAATGGTTTGGGTTGGACGGCACCTTAAAGATCATCTAGTTACAACCTTGACTGTAGGATTGTTACTGTAATAGATGGTTTGGAGTAGGTCTTTCTTCGGATAGATTCTTACAGGCCTAGAAGGGATCATTGAAATAAAAATAGGATACTTCTGAAAACACAGGAAAAAGAATTAAGGAGGCTTATTTTCTATGTGCTGTAGGACCACAGAATGGTTCTTTTAAGTGTTTCTTTTGTGAATGATAGAAAAATTACTACACCCATTCTGACAGCAGCATCTGGATATATTAGACCTCTTTTCAATGCATTCATTGTCTTCAGTTGCAGTTGTGGACACTTAGCTTTCCTAAGAGTCATGCTCAGAGGTGAGTAGTATAACATCAAAAATCTGAAGCTGCTTTCAAATTGACTGAACTTACTCCTTCTGTTCTTAAGTGATTCACTTTCATAAAATGGACTATCAAAGAGTTACATTTCTTTGATTATGAAATGCCATGCAAATGTTTTAGCTCAGTTGATTCGGGCACAGCAACGTCTTTGTCTTGGAACACTGACTGATGGTCATCTTCATGCTTTTTAGAAGGAAACATTTACATTTTAGGAAAGCAGGCATGGGTCTTCAGAGGGATGTTATTAACTGATGTACTAAAACATTTTTTTGTGTAGCTGCTGACTGAGAGACAAGAGTGAGTGTGAACTGGTTTAGCAGTTTGAAGACAGATTACAACACTGCTGAATATATGGCCCAGCAGGAAGGCTTTCTTTCTCCCTCACTGTAAATAGTCATGTGTTTCTGTTGGCAAGAGCTAAAAGATGAATGACGTGAATGGTGGTGGCTTGGGGAAAATCCAGTCCTCAGAGTTGTTTTATTTGTGTGACTTCTGTATGGCCGTGACTCTTATGATATATAATCATGAAAGAAAGATGTTGTATCTTACTGTGAATAAGTAGTAGGTCAGATAATATCAAGGTTCATGTGTCACTGGATGAGAACTCATTGTGTCAGGACTGTTCATGCTGTTATAGCCAAAATCTGACACCAGTGTTTCATTATGACCCCTGTTAAAGCAAAGTTTTGAAATGTTCCATTCATTTGGGACTCATGAATAATGCCATAAATCTATTCTCCACTTATAGTCATTTTTAGTTTTTCTAATGTGGGAATGATTTATTTCTATTTATCAAAAGGCAACATGAATTATTATGCTGGGGGACAAGGAGGGAAGAGGACTGAAAATAATGACTCGCTGTTAGAACTCAGTCCAAAATGGATTTAGGCAGGAAAGGACGAAATATTGGAAAGGACTTGGTTTTGCTCAAAGTGGATGATTGGGCCTGGGTCATCGACCTTCTGCCCCAGTTCAATTGTGTACTAATGCAGGTGTGAAATGATGGCATTACAGAGCTCTGCTGCCCTGTGCAGGTCTTGCATTGTTATGTATTTTCATAGAAATCATACACCAGTAGTATAAACTCGAGAAGGTCTCCTGTATGTGTAAACTAGAACATCAGCAGTGCTGTGCAGGGCCAGAGTGTTCTTTGCACACACAGAACTGCACCATGGTCCTGTCCTCAGCATGGAGAACATGAAGGTGGCAAAAGGCTGGGACTGCTTCACTGCAGTTGTTCCCAAACAGCTGATGATCCTTTGGTCCGTGGAGAGTTGTCTGTAGGTAATCTATGGAAGTGGGTAAAAGTAAGTAGTGAAATTTTTGGGTTTTCTTTTGTCTCTTATTTGCACTCATCTAAGAGGTGTCTATGACCCTGTGTATAAAAGTGTTCAGGCATCTCTGACATGTAGGAAATCCTGTGCTGCTCAAAAGCACAGTGAGCACGCTCTGCCCTCCAGCATGAAAAAATGCAGAAAGAATGAAGTTAATGGTACTTAGAGGAAAAAGACATATTTTTACAAGTGTTCAACTGACAGATATAGCCATTATACTTTCTGTAAGGAATGAGGGCTCCTTGGAGGCAGTATGTGTGGCAGAATTCATATGTACCCAACAGCTGAAACAACTTACCAGGTGGATGAGCATATGCCAAACTGTGAAACAGGGGAAATAATACCACTGGTTCTTAAGATGCAAAAATAATTTTATGAGTTTGAAAT